CGCATCGGGCTCCTTCCTCAGTGGGGAGTCTGCTTTTCACTCTGCCTCTGCCCCTTCCCTTGCTTATGCTCTCTCTCTCTCAAATAAATAAATTAAAATATTTTTTAAAACATTTTTATTTCCTACTAGAATAGTATATCTACCACTAAACAAAACATAAAAAAGTAAATAAATGAAACTAGATACCTGGTTATGAATGAAATTTAACCAGTTTTTTTCTAAAACATTTATTAAATTACTTTTCTTGAATAGATATTAATCTAACTTGTAGTATTTGCTTTACACTGAATTTGGAATATTTAGAAAACCATCTTCATGATTCTCTTCTTCATGTTATCTGAGTTGACTTAATATGGAATTTGTCCATTTCCCACTCATTGAACAATCCAATATCTGTATTAGCTGTGAAGAGGAATGAGTCATAACCATATCCAAAGCTAAAATCAATACTTTTAGAAACTTCTTACAGAGAAAAAAATGTAGTTATTGAAGTAAGTACCCTAGTTCTGTTCTTCCAGATGTTTGCCTTACACCCACAGAAATGAATGATCTGGTTAAGAAAATTTGCACTTAAGAAATCAGCAGTCAGGAGGAGTAAATGCAAAGGCAAACTTGGGATCAGACGGTCATTGGCCGTGGTCAGAGGCAATGTGGGCAGCAGAGGATCTCTGGTGAGAGTCAAAGACGGATCCTCCTGAGGAGTCCTGAAAGCTCTCAGTCCCTGCTGTCAAGGAAACTGAGTGTCCCATGAACTGCAAATATGGAAGAATGGGTGAATGAGGGGGTTTTTAAATTTTGATTTTACTTTTGTTTTTAAGGGTCTCGTGTTTTAACGGTTAAACCTGAACAATCGACATTTAGTTTTCAGAGTGGAAAATCATTTCTAAGTCTTTTCCCCTGACCTAATAAATTCAGTGCAAATTTATTGAACACTTACACTGTATTAGATACATTTTAAACTGGTTATAGGAAAGATGAATCCAGTGGATCTAAGAACATAGCTGAGAAGTGTTTCTTAGGCATCTTCGATAGCATTTAAAAATTACGTTACGGTAATGGGACTACAGTTTTATGCTAAGAAAATGCATATTCTGGTCACACTGTAACACTCCTTTTCATTTAGGTTCTCAGTAACTGCTGTAGGTAGAGCTCTGGGACTGGACAATGTAAGACATCTGGGCTTAAATATGTGTAGACAGGAGGTCCTTCCATGTTGGCATCCGTAACAGACACAATGACACTTATCCCATAGGGTTCTTTCAGAAATTGAAGAACCTCCTGCATGAAAATCCCTGAGCATTTTATTGGTGTGCAGAATGTTTCTGTGGTTAAATGCATGGGTCAAATAATAACGCGTAAAGGAATTTTTGAAAGTACTTAGAACTGTATGATACTAAAAGTAATACATTTCAAACTTATGTGATAAAAGCAATGCAGTATTTTTAGGGGAAATATATAGTATTAAGGGCCATATTAGAAAACATAAAAATTGAAAATTAATGAACTTATGGCTTAACTTATTTTTGGTTGGGGTGAAATTCATGTAACAGGGACATAATCATTGTGAAGTGAGGAGTTCAGTGGTGCAGAGCACCTTCCTGGATTTGCCAGACTCCATTCTCCCTCTGCTCCTCATTTCCGTGACTCCTGAGAGAACCCCGTTCCTCATAGGCAGTCCCTGTCCCTTCTGCCCTCCACCCAGGCCCTGGCAGCCACCCATGTACTTTCCGCCTCGATGGATTCACCTGTTCTACGTGTTTCATAGAAATGTCATCATAAACTAGGACATCTTTTCTGCCTGTCAAATGAAGTCATTTCTATAAGAATAACATAGGATAATAAACCTAGAGAAATTAGGACAGGTTAATAAAGTTTAAGACCGAAATCTGTGAAATTGAAATCAATGTTACTTAAGAAAAAAAAAAATCAAAATTTGTTAAAATGAATCCAGGCATGTGGGGAGAGAGAGAAAGAGACAGGAAAAGAATATTAGAAATAATTACTGGTACAATTTATAGAGACGACTCCGTCAAGTTTTTATGGTGAACTGATGAGACATAAATGAACAGACACTGAACTTGATCACTGTGCAAAGGAATGAGATAAAGAACACTGCAAGATGCCACTCAATAAGCAAAACTAAAGCGCCTGACTTTGTTAGTCACTGGAAATTCGCCTAACCAGTTTGCAAAATACTTGAGCACTTTTTTTTTTTTTTAATGAAATTGAACATGAGCATTTCTTACTCTCTGGTCATTCTTTTACTAAAAATACACCTTAAGTTTACTGTCATATTGATGTACTGGAAAATGTGCAAAAATGTTCATAGCAGTACTGAATGTAAATGAAAATAGAAAAATAAAGGAAAAATCCCTTGGTACGTCCACACATAATAGAGCGCTGCAAGTAAATGAGGCACATCTATGACGTAAGTGTGGGAGCATCATCTTAAGTGAAAGGCAGGTCACAGAAGACTGCACCCAGCATCCTAGCACACAAAACTCAACCCAGCAGTAAAGGATACACACATTTATGATTCAGAGATGGCTTTGTGATGATCAATACTGAATTTCACAGTGGTGATCATCTGGGGTTCAAGGCCAAGGGAGTAGCACAACAGTGGATTAAAGGTTATTTGTAGTATTCTTTTTCTAAGGTTGTGAGTTCACAATGGTACTTTAATTATTATAATTCATAACTTACCTAAAAGGTGTACAAGTGATATATCAGATTTTTAAATTTAAATTCAGTTAGCCAACATATAGTTTCAGATGTAGTGTTCAATAATTCATCAGTTGTGTATAACACCCAGTGCTCATCACATCACTGCCCTCCTTAATGCCCATCACCTTATTACCTCATCCCTCCAACCACTTGCTTTAAGCAACCCTCAGTTTGTTTCCCAGAGTCCAGAGTCTCTCATGGTTTGTCTCCCTCTCTGTTGGCTTCCCATTCAGTTTTCCCTCCCTTCCACTATGATCCTTCGTGCTGTTTCTTATATTCCACATATGAGTAAAACCCTATGATAACTGTCTTCCTCTGATTGACTTATTTCGCTCAGCATAATCCCCTCCAGTTCCATCCATGTTGGTGCAAATGGTAGGTATTCATCCTTTCTGATGGCTAAGTAATATTCCATTGTATATATGAACCATATATTCTTTATCTATTCATTGTTGAAGGACATCTTGGCTCCTTCCATAGTTTGGCTATTGTGGACATTGCTGCTATGAACACTGGGGTGCATATGGCCCTTCGTTTCACTACATCTGTATCTTTGGGGTAAATCCCTAGTAGTGCAATTGTTGGGTCATATGGTAACTCTATTTTTAACTGACTGTTTTCCAGAGTGGCTGCACCAGCTTGCATTCCCACCAACAGTGTAGGAGGGTTCCCCTTTCTCCACATCCTTACCAACATCTTTCATTTCCTGACTTGTTAATTTTAGCCATTCTGACGGGTGTGAGGTGGTATCTCATTGTGGTTGTGATTTGTATTTCCCTGATGCTGAGTGATGTTGAGCATTTTTTCATGTGTCTGTTGGCCATTTGTATGTCTTCTTTGAGAAGTATCTATTCATGTCTTCTGCCCAGTTTTGATTGGATTATTTATTTTTTGGGTGTTGAGTTGATAAGTTCTTTATAGATCTTGGATGCTAGCCCTTGATATGTCAGATTTTACATATTTAAAAAATAAAGTGATAATATATTTAGAAATTCATGAGGACTAAGATAATAGGGGAAATTATTTTATACTGTCATATAGTATGACTAGTAAATCTTAGCTGTTATTGTCACTTTTCTCTCAGAGGTCTTAAAGTTTTTAACTCTATTGGTAAAAACCACTTTACAGGGGCGCCTGGGTGGCTCAGTCATTAAGCGTCTGCCTTCGGCTAAGGTCATGATCCCAGGGTCCTGGGATTGAGCCCTGCATTGGGCTCCCTGCTCCGTGGGAAGCCTGCTTCTCCCTCTCCCACTCCCCCTGCTTGTGTTCCTGCTCTCACTATCTCTCTCTCTGTCAAATAAATAAAATCTTAAAAAAAAAAACCAAAACACTTTACATGGTCCTAACATATATAATCTTTAATTAAAAAAAAAAACCAAAACACTTTACATGGTCCTAACATATATAATCTTTAAATTGTTAGTACCACTACTCTAAAAATTATATTGTACCAGTATATTACATATATTATAAATGCATGAAATATATAATACAATCAAAATATAGATGAATAATATTTTTAAATTAATAAGTTTTATATATTAATGGTACATAATTCAATACTAGTGAGTGTAAATTTCTATTTCTAATGGTGCCCTAGGTACTTTAGAACCTTTTTATTTAACTTCTTTATAGAGTGTTTAGATATTTATTGTCTTCATTTCATAATGTGGGCTGACAAAAAACTCATTTTAGGACAAAAAGAGCATCAATTCTTACCTGCTTTCATATGCATTATTAGGAATTACTTTTAACGTATAGTTTCTTTACAAAGTTACTTTAAAGCTAATTGTCCATTTTTGGAGGATTAATTTCAGGAAACCTGACAAAAGGATACATAAATCTGTGTGATGGTTACAATGCGTAGCCATGTGCTCAAAACCTGTGGAGGTGTGAGGTCATCCACACCTCCAGGAATGACCACTCTTTCCGAAATTACCAGCGTGTGTTCACATGAAATAACCAACAGAGGATTCATGTTTCAATCAGAATATTAAATGTCACAAAACTTTTGTCTTTAAAATTTGGATGAAAAAAAATTTAAGTTCTAATACTTTTTTCCTGCACCAAGTGATTGTTTTGCTTGTCTTCACTTTTGTTCCTTAATTTTGTAAGTGAAGAAGCCTGGCTGACCACCCAGCACCCAGAACTCAGGAGTGGTAGCTTTTACTTTAGGGGATCACTTGTTTCCCTTTCAGAGTTTCAGTAGCCTGCTATATAGAACCCATTTGGTTCATGTATTCACTCAGCTGTTTATCAAACCATCTGTGTTTCAGGCAATGTGTTGGGTTGTGAAGAAGCATGAGACATAATCCCTGGCCCCGAGAACCTTTCAGCCTGGTGGGGAAAGCAGGTAAGTAAAGCAATTTAATGTCATTTGCTAAGCACTATTTTGAAGATATTCCTATGATGCTCTGAAGTCCGTTTACCTTCACAACCCTCTGTGAGGTCAGTAGGATGCCTACTCTTATTTCATTATTGAGGTAAAAACACTGAGATGTTATGGATTCATGTAGGCCCTCATACTGTCAACTAACTGTTCTAACCCTGTTCCTCCCACAGCTTGGTACTTGCTACGTTGATTACCTAGACCTGAGCACATCTGAGGGAAATGTTCTGCCTTTCTTTCAAAATCCCATTTATTTTGTTCTTTATGAGGATCTAAATGTGAAATTCCATATGGAAAAAAAAATCCTGATGATGTAAAGAAGGAATCATGTTGATAATCTACATGATGGGTACATGAGGGCTCATGAAGAAATAACGATTGCAAGACATCTCTGTAACAAAATGTTTTAAATGATCATCTTGAGCTAAGCTTCACAACCTCTTCTCAGAATGTAGCAGGGCCATCATAAAGAACTAAGTTCAGATATTAAGGTATCATTAGAAATCTGTCTTGCACCAGCTGGGGAAAAACAACAACAACAACTTGTTGGGTCATTTTAAGCCTGACTTTTGTGATGGTGCAATGGGCATTGTCCGCATTTTCCACTCTTGCATTGCATACTAGTCAAGACAATATAACCATATTTTCAGAAGCACTCAAGGTAGCCAGAATTTTTAAAAAGAACTGTTAATCACCCTAAAGAAATTGCAATCATTAATTAGTAAAGAAAGATCACAGTAATGAAATTATCATAAAATTTAAAGAGCATGAAAAGAACTTCAAAAACATATTTTATATATTTGAAGTGTAATAATGATTTCCTAATAAAACCTAAAGCTCTCTCAATTTGAGTATAATCTCTTCTCATGAGCTACAGCTTTTCGGTCTGTATGGGAGATTTTCAGGAGAGAATATTTCATAGAAAGTGTTTTAGCATCGAAATTTCCAAACCATCAATCTCTTCTTCATTTTCTCACATCATTTGGTTACATTCATAAATCATCTGAAATGTTAAGCTGAGGTTATTATGATCTAATGTGAAGTAAATCACCACTGAAATATTTTTTTCCCAAAATCTCATGAGTTTTTACTGAACGAAAGGATATGTGATAAGGCAAAATCCAAATATCATCTTGCATTAGGTTGATTAGGATTTAAATAAAATATTCAGCCTCTCAGTTTCTTCTGCTACACTGACTAGAAAGGAAGTTAGGAACTAAAAAGTCTCGAGGCCAGTGGGGTGGATATAAAAATGTGGCCATACTGGGATGCTCAGTGGTAGTTAGCCTGTGGCAACTAAATGTTTCCTATGTGGTTGTTACTTATCCTTTCTCGGCTAGAGTATAAAATACGTACATTTCATCAGATTTCCTGCGTACCGACTCTGATCCTGAGCCCAAACACAAAAAGAAATATCTAGGTGCTAGTGGTCTCATGGTGTCAGAGCAGAGAATCTTTAGAAACCACCTCTTTTAGCTACTTTGTATTTCAGATTAGGGAAGTTAACCCAAGTGACTCGTTGCAAAGTCCCATTGACATTTGAGGGAAGAATTAGAATTAGAACCCAGGACACTCTTAACGCAGAGCATTTTCTCCTCTGTTTTATTCCTTTCATTGGTCCTCCTTTTATTCACTATGGAGCAGATGTTCTTTAAGAGGTATGTTTGTTAAAAGGACAGACTCTGCAAATACTTCGTTTTGATTCTTTCAAGTCTCCCACACCTTTATTTTTGATGTCATGAGTAGGTGTGCTTTGACATGTTACTCTTGATGAGCGCCTTGGGGAATATGTGTTCATCCAGGCCTGTCTTCCCCTCTCAGTAGAAAACTAACATGGATTAACACACTCCACAGTGAAGTTTTCCCCTTTTTCCACCTCCCACTCGTGCACGGGTGCGTACACACGCACACACTGATTTCGCCATAACCAAAACCCTACATTTTCAACAAACAACCTGTTCCTTTGGGGAATGAGACTGCGAAGCAGAGGCAGGTACCAGACAGGACCGTGATCCCATTACAGAACTGTGAACTGTTGGTTTATGTTCAGTACGCAGAGGTCCAGTGTGTAAGTGATCCAGTGTGTGAATGAGCATGCCTGGCAAGAGCAGGAGAGCAGAGGAGCCTTCTGCTTGGCCACTTCTTGAACTCACATCTCTTTAATCTCCCACTGAAGATCCACTCCTTCTGGCAGCTTTGTGTTCTTGTGAGGTCTTAGCACTGATTTTCTGTGTCATTCTCACCGAACCTGGACCGAGCAGGTAGGACCGTCTGTATGTCTTGCAGGCTGCCCTTGACAGGTGCGGGGGCCCCTGCCTAATGGGGGAGACACTGAGCTGTGGACGGCTTTGCATCACAACCCCTCTCAAACTTCAGCACTCATGGCATATTTACAAAGTCATAATAAAACCATCATAAATGTAATGTTCTACAGGACATTTTGTTTTATTATTTAACTCTACTCATCTCTAAACTTCATATCCTATTATTGGCTTACTTTTCAAAAAAACTAAATAGCACTCTTTGTTTCAGCAATCATTTTTTTAAATAACAATTTAATTCTGATTCCATAACAAAGCTAATAACACACATTTCATGATGTGAAGTCCTTTTAAAATATCAGCATGCAGAAAATGTTCTTTACCATTTTAATTAATGTGCCTGTCATATTCTGAATATTCTGAAATACTTTCAAGGGGTGTGAAGTATTAGGTACATAAATAAATAGAAATATTCATTGTTGCATGTCATTAGCACTCAGGCAATGAATAGTAAAGGAAATTTCCATAAATTGATGTATTGAATTTTTAGGTCATTCATTTTACAGAAGCCTGTAATTTTCCATCTTGAGTATACCCTTGATCAAATAATTTACCTACTTCTTAATAAGGCCCTCATAGAAATATTGAGAACTACGGGACCTAGTAAGGGGCATGTGCCTGCGTGCGTCTGTACAGGTCTGTGGATCCGGAGTGACCTCCGTTACGGTAGAGATGATGTACAGCTGGTGTTCTGATGTACGGCACGGCTGGTCTTCTGCCCACGATGGGTGGGATGAACATTCTGGTACCAGAGTACCATACTGGTTCGCTCTCCGGAGCGGCTGCTTCTGCCCACAGCTGGGGAGATGGAAAGGAGTCTGAGACTGGAGTCCTGCTCCCATCCTCCACTGCTGGAGAGATGCAGGACTCACCTCAAAGCAGGAAGGATGTCCCCCGTTCCTCTTTCCTCTCCCTTTCAAATTTATCTGCCACTTCCTTGTGTTGGCAGAAATTGAGAAAGCCAGCTGACATGGAGGCCTGGGGTCCCAGCTCCTGAAATGCAAGGCAGAGTGAAGAAGGGTTATGTCAGGTCTGTGACGGCTCCGAGATTCTGACCCATGTACAAGAAGGGACTATGTACGTGGATATTGACCTTGCCGCTGTTTCCACTTATTAAACACTGGGAGCAGCTTAAATGTTCAACAAGATCATGGAGAAATACGGAAAAAAATGAGTAGGTTAGTGCTTCATGTGTCAAGTGGATCAACATAAAAATAGAAAGTTGAAAAAATGCAAATTGCTAAAGGGCGTGTGAAGTGCAGTTCACTTATGTAACATCACAAAACATGAATAACCCTGTGCAGACGTTCATGGAACGAGTAGGAACAAATAGAGATAGGCGGGTGCTTTTAGGAAAGCTGCTGATGAGTACGATTTAGGTAAAATTCAGAGGGGTTTTATCTGTACCTACTATGTGTGTGTTAAAAAAATATAACGGAGTCAAACGCAGTAACATTGTAGGGTTCATTGTAGATGGATGGCCAGTGCGTTAATGCTTATTATATTATTGTCTGTTATTTTTGAATATTTGAGTTATCTCATAGTTTTAAAAAAGATGCACAAAAATGTCAGGTGTCACTTGCTGTCACTACTCTCCAGCAGCTAGAGCGTGGACAGTCCCCTGTTGTCTTCAGCGTCCTCGTGAGGACTAGAGATGACAGAGATCCTGGCAGACCGTCCCCAATGGTGATGCTCCATTACTCTTACTAATAACAATTTGCCCACATGCACTACACATTCGTTAGATGGAAATCAGTGATATCGGGCCATTGGAAATCTATGTTTCTAATTTTTCATATGAAGCTTGTATTTCACAAATACTTCGAAATTTATTTCAGATCTTATGGGTAAGAAAACAGGCTCAGATCAATGAGACTGGTTTAGGGTCATGCACTCTTGTCTGCACACAATATGCTTGACTGGATTCTTTTGCCTCTAATCCTGTGCCTCCCATCAATGGGGAAGCGCAGTGCAGGGTCCATGAACAGGGATACAGAATGCAGATTCATCGTGGAGGAGTAGACATCCCTGTTTGAAAACGACAGGCTCATCTCATTCCTGTTGTCCCAGCATAATTATTATAACATCGCCTCTCAATCTTGAAAGTGTCACAGTTTGAGATATAAGTTATGTGTTTATGTTAAGATTCAGGAGAGCAATAGGCTAGTTCTTAGTTTATGCTGAGTTTGATGGCAGTATTTTAAGAGGGATCTTAACCAAATAGTCCATCAAAAAGAAAAAAAAGAGAGAGAGAGAGAGAAGACTGATAACTGTTTGAGGACTATTTGAAAAATTCAGGCATTCTTATTTTTTTAAAGATCTTATTTATCTGAGAGAGTGCGAGAGTGTGAGAGAAAGAGTGTGTGAGAGTGAGCGAGGTGAGGAGCAGAGGGAGAAGCAGGCTCCCTTAGGAATCAAGACCTGAGCCGAAGGCAGCTGCTTAACCAACTGAGCCTCCCAGGTGCCCCAGATTCAGGCATTCTTAAAAAACAAACAAACAAATAAAAAAAACAGATTTGGGGGAATGGCAAATTTTTTTTTATCAAATTAAAAAAAAAACTGTTACATGGAAGAAGATTCAGACTTATTCTATGTGGCTTCACATACTGCTGGTTGTTAAGGAGACACAACTTGCTAACAATTAGAATGGACATTATTTCTTCTGTCTGATGAATCTGTGGGGTTTCCAGGTATAGGATCGTAACACCTGTGAGTACACCTGGTTTTACTGCGTCATTTCCTTTCTAGTAAAAATGCTCTGTTTTCTGCTGATTGCTTTGACTAAAATCTCTAATAAAATGTCTGAAAAAAGGTAGTGTTACCAGACATCTTTGTCTTCTTCCTGATTTTAGCAGAAGTTCTGTCTGTGTCAGCATTAAGTAAGGAAATCTGTTTATTTTTATTAGGGAATGGGTGTTGAATTTGTTCAGTGACCTTTGACTATGGTAATCATAGTGTTTTTAACTTTAGAAGTATAGGGTTTGTTGATATGGAGCCATCCTTGTAATCCTGGAATAAACCCCATCAAATCAAGATGTATTATTTTGTAATGTGATAATATACACTAATGGGTCCTGTTTGCTCACACTTTATTTAGAATTTTACGTGTTTTTATCATTACATGGGTATTTACAATTTGGATTGGCCTTTCATTTTTTCTTATATTTATATTTAACAGTATTTATCAGGTTTGAATTGGTGTTTCAGTTAGTTACCAACAAGACTTGTGGAAAATTTCTTTTTCTTTGGTGGGAAGAGTTTAAAGAACATTGGGATTATCTGGTTGTTGATGATTTTATAGAATTCCACCGTAAAATTCCCTGGGCTAGTGTTGTAGATTTTTAGAAAGTTCTAATTTTTTTTTCCCTATAGAAATTAGTCTCTTCATACTTTCCTTCCATACTTAGGTCAGTTCTGGGAAACTATAATTTTCTATAATATTAACATTTCATCTAGGTTTGCAAGTATATTCGAATAGATTGTGTGCAGTATAGACTTTTAAATCTTGTTTCAATGGTTATTTTC